AATTGCACTATCCTTTTTAGTGATCTCCAATCCAATCAAAATAGAAAAAGAATGGGCATATTTGGAAAAGGAAATTTTACCTCCTATAGCAAAGGTATACACCTTATTTATTATAAATCGAAACTATTTTAAAATATTAGTTTTTATAACTATCTTTTGTATTTTATAGCAAAATAGGTATTTATGGTATACACTACAATTGAGGCATGAAATACGCTATTTATATTTTTTTTCCTCTCTTTTTTTCAGTCAACACACGGTTCTCTCTCAAAATTTTTCTTCTCTCTCTCTCTTCATTTTCTCTGTCTTCGAGCAAAATATTTGCTTCTAATCGTGAATTCTTTGGTCGAATCCTTTAGGATTATTGCAATTAAAAAAACTTCCACAGGTTCAGTCAATCTACAATGTATACACCAACATGAACGTTGGAGTTTTTAAAACGATGAATCATCAATTTCTACATAACTATGAGTCAAAATCGTCGGTATCATCATCCACTATTGGCTCATCCTCTTAGGAGAACAGATCTGGCCATGGTTGCGCCGAAGAAGATTTGCGGACCAGATTTTTGTTCGTCTCCATTTTTAGTTTTAATACAATGTATGCAGTATTTTGCTTCGCCGGAAATGTCATCTCCGGCGAACTTTCTTCTCTTCTTTGCTATTTAATCACATACAACAGTATAAATACATTGTATTCTATACAAATACACTAAAATATATTGCTTTTTTGTATAAACACATTATTTCCCCCTGTATTTATGTATTCCGAAGGTTTGTATTTTTTGAATACCGCCTAATATCACTGTGTTTTGTTGTTTTTTGTTGTTTGAATACAGTTGAATTGAATACGGTGAATTGAATATAATGTAAAATAGTTACTATCTATGAATGGAATACAATGCATATAATCGAATTGAATAGAATGGTATGCACCCTATTTTTTTTTGTTTTTTTTTATTTGAATACAGCTGAATTCAATATACACCATTTCCGTTATTAAATACCCCTAATCACTATTTTTAGGCGGATTACCTCACTGTATTTATAAATACGTTCGCGCGAATACATGAAATACATAATTAAACATCTGTAATCCCTGGATTTTACCTTACTATATTTACAAACACACTCGAACAAATACATGGAATACAACACAATTAACAACGAAATTTATGTAGAATTGATTTTATTGAGTTAAATTAAGAGTGATACACGCTAATTGATCCTCTCTCCGTTATTAAACAACTGAATTACCTTATTTTTTAGGCGAATTCTCTTATTGTATTCATACAATAGCGCCAACAATAAAAATATAGTCGCACAACTGGACTCCCCTACTTTTTTTTTTTTTAGGCCAATTCCACTATTGTAAAGTCGCTTAATAACTAAATAGTGGTTTCCGAAAATTGCCAAACAAGCAAAAGGTAAAAAATGAAGAAGAAACAAGAACCAATTGAAACAAGGCAAATATCTGCAGCCAAGAAGAGACAGCAAAAATGGTGGTGGCACACTTGGGGGCTATTTCCTTTTCCTCCTCCTGCATCCTTAGTTCTGTATGTTGCCCTCGTCTCAGACACTTCACCATTGACAAGAATAAACCTCTAATTGGTATGCCTCTTTACAAAATGAACCATTTTTAGTTTAATGCTCTTACGAATTGCTCATTGTGCGTCTTTTCTCTGTGTAATGTTGACATTCTGTTATAAAGATTTCAACTTTCTGTGCTTATCTTTTTCTTTTGTTAATACTTCAAATTTTCTTATGAAGTTTGCACTGTAATGTGGATATTTTCCCTATACCTGTTGGTTTCAAAGGAATTTAGGAGCTCTCTATTTGGCAAAGTTTAATCATGGAATTGCTCACTTAATTCTTTTTCTCATGTTAATTTGAAATTCATGGGGTTTGGGGGTTGGCTTAGAGGTGTTATTTATGGTTCATGTTGAACTTAATCTGTAAGGTGTGATGACTTGTCATGCTTATTACAAATGCATAAAAGCTGTGTTGTCAAGCAAATTAGATGCACTCAGTGATTAATCCCCCCCCCCCCCCCCAACCCCAATAAAAAATATTTATATATCTGTCTCACTGTGTAGCTCTATTAATTGTTGGGATTAGCAGAGTAAAACCTGCCCATTTTGATGAATGGTTTTATCTTTTAAGAGATTTAAGTTCTACTTATTGAAAAACGAAGAAAAGGGGAAATCAGACTCATTGAAGTAGAAAAAAGTAATTTTTCAAAAATTGCTTGAATAACCCCTTTTTTATTCAGAAAAAGAAAGAAAATAAGTTTCTTTCACAATCTCCACCATTTACAATCTTCTGCTCTCCCCTTTCTTCCCTTTCCTTTTGATAAAGTAAGAGATTGTATTAATAAGGCATCCAGAAGATGCAAATTACAAAAGATGACAAAAGTGTACAGTGTCTAAGAAGACACTGAATTAGCTCCTGTACAATGCTTAAGCTAAGATCAAGGAGCTAACAAAATCCAAAAAGTTATCCACACTATTAACAGGAGTATGGAAGTTCCAACTAAACAGATAGCTTTTAAAGAGTGTAATGGAGTTGAGATTCCATCAAAACATCTGCGGTTCCTTTCATTCCATAAGCACCAAAAAATTGTAGCTGGGATCATTCTCCAGATCTTCTTTATCAACTCTCCAAAAAATCCAGCTTACATATGCATCTTTGATGTGGAAAGGCATCACCCATGCTAAACCAAAAATAGAGTAGAAGAAATTCCAGATGACACCTGCTATTGGGCGAAGAAGAAACAAATGGTTGACATTCTCTGAATTTTTCTGGCATAGATAGCATCTGTTGGCTAGTACAATACCTCTTCTTCTTAGGTTATCTTGTGTTAAGCAAGCTTCTCTGAGAGTTAACCAGGTAAAGCAAGATACTTTGAGTGGTTATCTAGTCCTCCAGACATGTTTCCAAGGCCAGTCCTCAAGCATCCCATTCTGTGAACATAGGAGGTTATAGCTGGCCTTGACTGTGTACTTTCCTCCTGTTGAGTTGCCCCAGATGAGTCTGTCAGGTTGATGCTCTTCAATTTTGCATTCTTCCAGTGTGGATGATAGCAGAAGCAGATCATTAATTTCCCAGTCTTGGAGGTTTCTTCTGTATAGAGGATTCCAAGTGTTCCCTTCCCTGTTGTGAGCAACCAATGAATTCTGACGACTAGCTATCTGATACAACCCAGGATATGGTTCTCTGTGTTGTGTTACCAATCCATCTGTCCTCCCAGAATTTTACATGAGAGCCATTGCCAACTCTGTATGTTATTTCCTGGAGAAAATAAGTATGAAGAGATCTGATACGTTTCCATAGTCCTACCCCATGTGGGGCATTGTTTTCTTTGGTGCACCACTGGTTTTGAGCTCCATGCTTTCCCGTAATGACCTCCTTCCAATAAGCTGGTTCAGGTTGCCCATACCTCCATAGCCACTTCATTAACATGCTTTTGTTATGGAGCTTTAGGTTCCTGAGTCCCATTCCCCCATCAGATTTAGGCTGAATAACTTTGGCCCATTTTACCAAGGGGAATTTGTGAGTTGTGTTGTTGCCCTCCCATAGAAACCTACTTCTCAATCTGTCTAGCTGTTTCAGAACTGAGCTTGGCATAGGGTATAAGGACATACAGTAAGTAGGGATGCTGTCAAGAACACTACTAATTAAAATGAGTGCCACCCATTGAGAGATACTGCATTTGCCAAGTTGCGAGTCTCTTTTCCACTTTTTCTACAACATCACTCCATACTCCGATTGATTTGTATTCAGCACCCAAAGGTAAACCTAGGTATGTAGTGGGGAGGGATCCCATTTTACAACACAAGATCTCTGCCAATTCTTCTAGGTTGGAGACTTCATTGACTGGGTATATGGTGCTTTTAAGCATGTTGATGTGTAATCTAGAAATGGCTTCAAAGATGAGCAAAGTGAGATTGAGATGGGATACTTGGAGTCTCTCTGCTCCACAAAAGATCAGTGTGTCAAATGGGAGACAGTGACTGAGTTAGCTGGATTTCTGCCCACTTGAAACCCCTGTATCCAATTCATCTCCTTGGCTTTGACTAGCATTTGTGTAAGGCCCTCCATAGCCAGTAAAAAGAGGAATGGAGAAAGAGGATCTCCTTGCCTGAGGCCGTTTTGTGGGGAGAAAAACCTACTGGACTTCTATTCACCAGCACAGAATACTTCACTGAAGAAATGTTGAAATAAATCCACCTAATCCATCTGTCACCAAATCCCATCATCTTCAACATGTTGATAAGGTATGGCCGGTTTAATTGATCAAAAGCCTTCTCAATATCGAGTTTGCACAGTAAGCCAGTTTCCCATTTTTGATTCTCCAATCCAAAACTTCATTTGCAATCAAGGATGCATCTGTGATTTGCCTATTTTGATGAAGGCACTTTGTTGACCAGAGACCAGCTTCCTAATAACTCTTTTCATTCTTTCAGTAAGGATCTTTGCCACCAATTTATAGACACTGCCTATTAGACTTATTGGTCTAAAATCCTTAAGCTCATATCTAACCATATGACCATGTTGGTGGTAATGGTTAAGGTATCCCATGAAGTCTGACTTGAGAACCTCCCAGCATTTTTGAAAAAATGCCATGGTGTAGCCATTAGGGCCTAGTGCTTTGTCTGGGGCACAAGAATTTAAAGCTGCAAGGACCTCTGGTTCCTCAAAAGGAGATTCCGGGTCCTCTCTGTCATTTGAGCTGAGTGTGTAACCCTGTAAATTCTACTGAAGGTCTCCATGCTTCCTTCTCTGTGTACAAATTCTGATAGTAGCTCAGAATTTCCTCCTTGATCAATCCTTTATCTTTAATTATCTCCTCTCCCACTTTGAGTCTATCAATACTGTTACCCCTTCTTCTTGAGTTTGCCACTTTTTGGAAGTACTTTGTGTTCCTGTCTCCTTCCTTCAGCAGACTTTTGCCTCCAGGAGGTTTCCTCAGCAATTGCCAACTGTTCAAGTTCCAATTTCAAGTTGAATGCTTTCATCTTTTCCTCTGGCGTTTGAACTCTATGTTCTGCTGTTTGCTCTAGTAATTGCAAATCAGCAAGAGCTTTGTTCCTTTTGGTTTCCATGTTACCGAAGACTTCTTTGTTCCATCTAGTAAGATCTTCTTTAGGTTCCTTAGTTTCTGGATAAGGATGAAATCTGGGTTGCCACTAATTGAATAAGATTGCCACCATCCCTTCATCTTGTCCAGAAACCCCTCTGATTTGAGCCACATATTCTCAAACTTGAAATAAGAAGGTGTAGTTTCCCAATCTCCACTTTCCAAAAGGATTGGCTTATGAACTGAAATTACTCTGGGCATAGCAATTTGGTACACATTCTTGAACATTTCATTCCATTCAGTTGAGAATAGAAATCTATCAATCCTTGATGCTTGTAGAGAAGCCTCACCTCTTGACCATGTGTATAAAGCTCCCTGAAGTGGTGGATCAACCAGACCTAACTCCTGGATTGTGTCTGAGAAGCCCAACATAGCCCTGGATCTTCTTATGCAATTTAATCTCTCGCTTTCAAATCTGCAGACATTAAAATCTCCACCAATTACCCAATTGTCAGACCACAACCCCCTGATTGCTGCAAGTTCGTGCCAAAGGACAGTTCTTTCAGGGTTGGTGTGAGGACCATACACCCCTGTGAATACCCAATTGAAATCTTCTAATAAACTTTCGAATCTGCAGGAGATTGAAAAGTTCCCCACTTCAGAGTCTACACAATTCCAATTCCTTTTATCCCACATAATTAGGATCCCCCCTTTGCTACCATATGCCTTCAGTTCAGCCCATGCCACCCATCTATTCCCCCATATTTGACTAATCAAGGAATTGTTCCAATCCTCTATTTTTGTTTCTTGTAAGCATAGAATATCTATCCCCCACTTGTGCACAAGGGATTTTAAAGTACTCCTTTTATTCTTCTTATTAAGGGTACATTCCAACTTAGGGTTTTGATCTTCATTTAGGATGGATCTTTTGAGACCTGCCCCTTTCTTTCTTGCCACTGCTGCTGCCCTCTTGTAGACCCCAAGCCAATTTCTTAAGCTCTGAACCCCCTTTAGACTTCCCTTTTTTTGACTCCACTTCTGTATTTGCTTGTTGTTGCAATTGGATCTTCCTTTTCTCCTCCATTCTAAGGATTAGCCACGTAATGTCTGATTCGAAGCCTGTAGCATGTACCCGAACGCTTTGCAAGCTTTGAGCAGTGCCATTTTCGTCCATCTTGAGGTTTCCACCACTGTAGGTGTGTCCACCATTTGCATGCATGATTTAGATGAATCATCAGTGTCATACCATGGCAAAGGGAGGAAATTGTTGAAAGACTTAGAAGAAAATTCTGATTCCGAGCCGCTGACCCTTGGAGATACTGTTTGCATGAGCAATTCTGACAAATTAGGGCTAATTCTTTCTGCTTCAGCATCAGCATCAGATTGGGAGTGGAGAGTTTGTCAGAGGCAATGTGGTTAAGCGCTTGTATTTCCTCTGAGAGTGGGTCGAATTGATTCGTCAGTTGCACTGTTGAAGATTTGTGAAGACAAGGATCGTACGCGTAGCCTGCTCTCCAATAAGTAGCTGGCTTGGGCCTTGAGTATTTTTTATTCTTGGACAGTTTTGGGCTTTTTGCATAACCCAATATTCAGGAAGTTGTCCTATTGAAGATTATTCCTGACTCCTGAGTCTTGACTAATCAAATCCCAGTTTTAATATTAATGCCTGCAGTAGGATGGTAACCCAGTTTTGGTATGCAAAAAAGAGATAACGACATTCAGTTAGTGCCGATTAAGTAACTGCAATTTATTGGTCGACTTCAAATAATGATGATTTTAAGGATTTTGTTCCAACTTTTAACTTTGTAATTAGTTCTTTCATCTACGCATTTTCTTCTAAAAAGGTCATTCATTTAGTTAACTGAAAAAATACAACTTCTTGCATTCCAACAATGTTGGTATCATGAATTGTTATAAGCAAAGCCAAGACTCTAAAACTGCTTGCTAGAGGTAGATGCTTGTCGTGTACTAGGTCAAACATGGATACTATATTGGTGAGTCAGTGCATCCGTGATAAGCTAGAATCTAGTTCCGTGCCAGTGTGTGCTTCAGGTCTACTTTACAACTCTCTGAACTCATTTTGAAATGTGAAAGAAGTTTTTTGTGATTGCAATTTTAGCCTTAAAAGGCCTCATCATCCTGTGCATCTGTTGGTCATGGAAAATGGATTTAACCTTCAGGGTTTAGATCCAATTTGATGCTATATGCATGAATTAACAAACATTCATTTCCATTTCAAATGTATTCACTCCTTGAAATTCGACAGTGGCTGCAATGAGTGATGATCCAATTCGTGAATGGATCCTTTCAGAAGGAAAGGCAACACAGATCAGAGGAATCAGTCCCATTGGTGGTGGGTGCATAAATCGTGCAACACGTTATGATACTGATGCTGGTTCCTTTTTTGTTAAAACAAACAGGTATTTGATTATTATTTTCCTGTCAAACATTGAACAGATTATGTAGATGGTTGCTTAATATGGTGTTGTTAAATGTGATAGATGGCTTATACGGTATTGTTAAACGTGATAGATGGTTGCTTATACAATAGCGTTTAAAATCTAATCAGGAGTATTGGACCATCAATGTTTGAGGGAGAGGCTTTGGGTTTAAATGCTATGTACGAAACAGGGTCAATCCGTGTACCAAAACCATATAAAGTAAGCATTTCAGTTGTTTTTTTCTCCTGTCTTAAACACTGTAGAAGCTTCCCTCCTCCCCCTCCAGAAAAGAAATAAAAAAGAGATAAGAGAGTTCACGACTGTAACCTAGAGGAAATTGTTTCATGCATTATGTAGGTTGGATCTCTGCCAACAGGTGGCTCATACATCATAATGGAGTTTATTGAGTTTGGTGCATCTAGAAGCAATCAGGTGAGAGTGACTTTTCAATTCTTTTCCCCATAATTTCTTTTTTCTTCATGCTTTTGTTTGGTTAATTTGGTAACAGCATTTAGATGTTTTACCATTTACTGGTTTTCAGTCAGCATTAGGAAGGAAGCTTGCTGAAATGCATAAAGCAGCAAAGTCTGAGAAGGGTTTTGGCTTTCACGTTGAGAATACTATTGGCAGGTATCCTATTAAAACTCTTCCACAGTTATGAGGATGCATTTCACAAAAACCACTAGATGATGCATTGCACATCACACTTATTTAAAGTTTAGCCATTCCACTGCTTTCTGTATAAATAGAAGGATTGTGAGTAGCATTTATTATTTGGTAAAAAAGAAAAGTGAAAGGAGAATATTCAATTTAATATCTAGTAGTTGAAGTTGGAGTTTTCTCGTCATTCATGTTTCTCCATATTAAGTGTAATCTGATCAAAGATATAAATGGCTGAATATTTGTGCATTGATGTAGCACTCCGCAGATAAACACCTGGACATCAGATTGGATCGAATTTTATGCGGAGCACAGATTGGGATACCAGCTGAAGTTGGCTCGTGAACAGTATGGGGATTCAACCATTTATGAGAGAGGTTTAAATCATCATCTTATTGGAAAAGAAAACTTTGACTTCATTTATGGAATTTATCTTTTTTGATCCTGGTAATATGCAATGGAATGTGTACCTCCTCCTTACTTCATTCTGAATTTAAAATTACTTCAGGCTTCATTTATTTTATGGAGAATTGCAATTTGGATCACTTACAGCAGTGACAGAATGGATTCTTGCTCCGTAGATTCATTCTAATGGCCAAACTAGCTTGCTGCCTTCTTTTCCATCACATAAACTGATGCTCCCACTTATCTTTTAATCTGGCTTTGAAAGATTTATAATCACATCTCTCTTCACGTACTCATTCGAAGAAGTCCTGATAGACAAGTTTAAAGTTTAAGTTGTTTCATTCGGCGATGAGACAACATCGGGGAACATGGAATGATGGACAAATATCAAACTTCCAAGTACTTGAATATTATTGAATGTATCCGAGTCCAACATTTTTGTGATAATCTTCCTTCTCTGGAATTTGAGGCTTGACAGTTTTACAGCGGCAATTTAATCTGTAATTAAGTAAATACTTGTAAAGAGCACAAGGATGTTCACGTGGTCATTCAATATCTGACATGTTTTATCTATTTTGTTTTAATTAATCTATTCTTAGGACAAAGGCTAGCAAAGAACCTGGGACCTTTATTCAAGAATGTTGTGATAGAGCCATGCTTGTTGCACGGAGACCTGTGGAGTGGGAATATCACATATGACAAGAATGGTGAACCCGTGATTCTTGACCCTGCATGTTATTGTAAGTCCTGGGTTCACAGTTTCAATATTATCAATCAAATGGTCGTTGCATTATCATTCACTGCTTCCTATATGAAATGTATCTCTTCCAGAAGCACCTGAACATTATATTATGTAATATCTGAGGCAAGTGTGGTTGGTGCAGTTATATTGTGATGTGAACTCCTTATAGCTCATTATATTTTCACAACCTTATTTATCACAGCCTCCAACATAACAGGTAATAGTAATAAAGATTGATACAGTAAGAGGTGGAAGATCCGTCTTTAGCCGAGGGTATATCGGAAACAGTCTCTCTGCCCTTCCAGGGTAGGGGTAAGACTGCATACATCCTACCCTCCCCAGACCCCACTTGTGGGATTATACTGGGTTGTTGTTGTTGTTGTTGTACAGTAAGAGGTGGAAGATCAGACAGTCCTGGATCCTGTTAAATTTTACAATATTTCTGCAACGATAGTAATGACAATTAGACAAGCAAAAATTGAAATGTAGGATGCTACTATGAAGGTAAAGTATTTGCTTTTTTTATGTAAATAAATTTCTCAGAGGAAACCAATATGAGATTCGCCAACCATCCCAATTGTCCAAATTGACTTTCAAAGGTCAAACTGGGCACTGGTCAAGGCTATTTAAAGAGAATTTCAGAAACTTCTATGGTTAAATGGTGAAGATGATAAGCCACGTGAAAAATACTCTTTATTTTTTTAAATTCCTCAAATTGCTTAAATTTGTCTGAAAATGCCGTCCAAAGTCCAGTTTAACTTTTTTGAAAACTTAATATGAACAATAATTTTGTGAGGTGAGTTCATAAAGATGAAAATTTTCCATATGTTACCATCTTACTTCAGATTGGTTACTTCACCCCTATGCTTGTAAACATTCAGTTAGGTTAAGTGTATACAGAAAGGTTGACACTTAAAAAATGATTATTGCCTCTTGGATTGTAGCAAACTTCATGTAATTGGTTGCTTTATTCTCTGTTAGCCTCTTCTCTAGATGGGTAGTGAATTCGATTTACTTCTAGATATACAGCCTGGTTTATGTGATGCCTAGTAATAGACTTAAACCCCTTTCTGCCTCATTATTCTTTGCGCCAATGTCATCCACACATTGCAATATAAATGGATAAGGAAATATACATAAGTTGAAAGATCTCAGTGCAATATTTGTATCCTAGCAGTCAGGTATTTGGTTTTAGGTGAATGAATTGATGGCTCCAGATGCACTTTAACATTATGAATTCTGTCTTCTTTAGATGGACATAATGAAGCAGAATTTGGAATGTCATGGTGCGCCGGATTTGGAGGAGATTTTTACGAGGCTTACTTTCAGGTGCTGTAATTAATGATTTTTCCGTAATACGCATCTCTTTCACTTTTCATCAGCATTTAGTACCCATGCGAACATCTTTTTTTTTTTTTTTTTGTAAAAAAAAAATAGATAATCGGTGATCTCAAATAACGAGTTAGTTTTAGCATCACTCCATATTGGCATTTGAACCAGGTTGTCAACTTGCAACTTAATGGTGGTGTATGTCTGACATTTGCTTCATGTTCTTGGTATTTACTCTCATTTGTTTCTGTGTATGTTTTGTTCAGGTGATGCCTGAACAACCTGGGTTTGAACAAAGGAGAGATTTGTACATGCTGTATCATTACCTAAATCACTATAACTTGTTTGGTTCTGGTTACCGCTCTTCTTCACTGTCCATTATTGATGACTATCTACGGATGCTCAATGTCTAGATAGATACTAGTTTTTTCATTTTCTTGTACATGTGAAGCTTTGTCTTTCTGTAGCTACCACCATTTTGAATAAGCCAGTTGTATACCCCTTCCTTCTCTTCCGTGAAAGGGTGACAATTCTCAAAAACTTGAAAACAAAAAGGTTTAGCCCTTACTCCCTATGAAGTTTATGCAATGTAATGTAAAAACTAACTACACAAACATCTACACTGAACAGGAGTTTATAACTTGAAAAGGTGGAGGGTTAGCCTATTGGATAGGTCAAATTACTCTTGAGGATAAACATTTTGACACTGTTATAAAATAAGTTACTTTTCTTTTTATCTGTCGTTCAAAATTTTGATACACCTATAGTTAGTAAGATTATTTGACAGCATTAATCATAAATGACTAAATCACCCTTGTCTTAATGAGTAATTAATTTACCGAGTGTATGCATTTTGGAGTGGCAAAGATGAAATTGAAAGAAAAAAAAACCTTCTTGATATTTTAAAGAAAATACTTTTTTGTCTAAATTGTCAAATAATAAAGACAGGAGAAAGTACGAGAGAAATTAAGCCATATACATAAGATGTATCCATCATCTGAACACAAGTACAGAAGGAACAGGAATTCATACCCCTAAACCGCAGAAATAAAGAGACGCCCAACAGCATTTGTGTATCAGTGACACAAGACTTAGGATTGAGAATGGAGATGGAGATAGCGTCAGAGACAGGAGCTTCCATTGCAGAGCTAATACAAGCACTGGGCCAAGCAACCCTAATGGCTAAACAACTCCCCACCACCTCTGATTCTTCACAACTCCTCCAAATCTACTCTTCCCTTCACTCTGCTCATCACCACCTTTCCCTTTTCCTATCCCTATCCCACCACCACCACCCACCCCCTCAACAGCCCCATCTCCTCCCTACACCACCACCACCTCCGGTGCCTGAAAACTCTGTCTCCTCCGCCGTAGGCGGTGGCGATGAGAATGATACTGATGAACCTATGCAAGTGGGGGATGAGGAGGTTGATGATGTAAATGAAACAGAGCAGAATTCTGTTGATAGAGTTGAGGAGAGGATGAGGGATTGTTTCATTCAGAATAAGAGACCCAAAAGACCCCTTTCTCCGGCGTCAGCTGCGGCGGCTGCGACTGAGCAGCAGCGGCGGAGCTACGACAATGACGGCGGCCTCCCTGCTCTGGAATTTGATCCTCATGGGACTAGGTTGAGGTCCTTGGACCTTATTTATCAGTTCCATTCTTGAATAAACTGTGTAAAGAATTTCATTCTTTTTATTTGAGACTATAGCTACTTATTAGAGTGGATATATTATTGTTTTTTAGAATGTATTTTCATGATCTCGATTGAGATAATCTATACCATTTTCCCCCATTCGGATTATGAACTGATTTTTTGCTTCTTGATTTCATTGCAAAATTGTTAGAAATAAGTGGTACATATGATGTCATGTGAGATTTCACAGGTCTGTTGTTGTTGTCAGTGGTACATATGATGCGAAATAGATTAAAAGAACATAGAGAAAATACAAGCAAGTTAGATATGAATCATCACTGTTCATGAATAACACAGGGTGATCCGATGCAAAAATACAGTTTATATTACCCAAATACATTATTGGTCTTTGGTTGTACTAATGATTGTAAAAGAAGATATGTGATACAATATTTACACTCAGCTCTGATGCCCTGATAATTCGTCTCTCAACACTTGTGCGGTATTGAATGGATTAAGGCTTTGATGGGACAAGAGTAATAATGGAGGCTCAATCAATATTTGTGGAGTTGTCCTTTTTGCTGTCAACTGTAGCTGTTTGAGTTCCCAGCTGGTGATAATTCTCCAGGCTTGCAGAAGCTTGTGAATTCCTTATTCCAATTTCTGGTTTACCAGTGAAGTTTAGGATAACAAGTGGAGTAATAAGAAAGGCGAGGCCTCTGCTTCCAAGTATCTTCGCCAAGTGACACCAGAAAGTCTTAGGCTTTAGCAATTGAATTATGCAGCCTTACAAAATCTTCTAGCGCTAGCTCCTCCGGCCTTGCCTGGAAAAAAAGAAGAAGAAAAACACCAAACGGAAGAGCTGATTTAGATAGAAGAATTGTTGGTGTTCAATTGACTGATAAATCACAAAATACATCAGTCATACCGTGGGTGGAAGACCAGCACTAACAAGAGCTTCTTCAATCTCAAGGGAAGGGCATATATGCTGTAGTGTTTTTCGCAACATCTTACGTTTTCCATTAAAAGCAGAATTGACCTTAACCATCAATGAGGAATGTCAGCTATGAATAATGAGAAAAGATAAACTATTCACCATATTTTACCCTAAAATTCCCAAATTTGTTGTATAACCAATCATTAGCCTAACCACAGAATGCAGATGCTGATATTTTAGTTTGTAGCAATCAATTATATCACGCTAGCAGTGGGAAAGCAAAAAGAAAAGTATATGGGTAAGCTGTAAGAACCATTGAGAAGAAACTTTTGGCAGAAGAAACAGGAGGATAATCCACAGGTTGCTTCAGTCTGAAGGAAACTACAGCTGCATCAACCTGAAGAAGAACAAGAAACAAATAATTTTACTTTGCCAATGGAATAATCATAAAATTACCTATTAGACACCATCATATGGACATGGAAAAGCTATACCGCCAGCGAATATCCTATACGTGATATAAGAACTGTATTTTTCAAATAATAGTATTCATCCAAGAGATTCACAAATGTATTAAAGGAAGCACGCGTAGACAATTTTTTCTTTTTTCGTATAATGGGAACACACGTCTAGACAGTAGAATAAAGTTCATTCCACCCCAGTTCAAAGTATTTGATATTGGAAAGAGCATCACATCTTGAAGCCGTCCAGACAGCGTGTGTTCAATTTATTGAAAGTGACAAGAGAGCGTGCCTAGAAGAGTCTATAAAATGTGTAATCCGCTACTGTTTAAATTTTCAAGAAATTATGTACCTTTGGGTCTTGGTTTTGGAAAGGAATTCAAACAGGAAAATATATACTGATCACTTACTTTAGGTTGTGGGAAGAAATTTGTCCTTGGCACCTTAAATCTGTATTCAGGATCTGCAGAGAAAAATGTAAATGCAAAAGCTTGAGATTATTGCTTAATATGTACCAAATGATTTTGGAGCTATTTAGCTGAAAATGTCCTCAATACTAAAGACGTGATTTTGATTTGTACAGTATATCTTAGAGGCTCAAAGAATATGACCAATAGTATTCAACTAAGCACAGAATTTGAGGTACTAAGGATTAAGACACAAAAGATGGGAAATCAACAGCATATAGGCGTTATCATATCAGATGACTAAAAATGAACATTTGGAAATGAGATACTTTGCGAGACAAGACCTCTTAATTATGGTTGTTTTATTATCAAGTAATCACTAGCAAAAGTTTGTCATCCTCAGTCCAAAATTAGAGTCATGGCATTGAAGTCTAAGGTACTAATTCACCCTCACAAGGCTTTCAATTACTTGAATAGAAGTTGATGAAGATATTAATGGGTCGATACTCAGAGGACCCTGAGGATGAATCCACCAAGCGCACAGCTGCTTCCTCCTGAAATTGCAGACAATCAACTGTCAGTAGTTCTGTCAACAATTGGAATAGTTTGGTCAGATTTAGTAAGAGGTGAAATACATCAAACTGTTTTCTCTATGCCATAAAGTCGCATATTTTGTGAAATGACCTCTTACATTATGTCCCAAGAACATCTATCATTGTAATTTCCTGAAACTAGCAATCATAGATCTTAACATAAACATAGAACAGCCCCACGAGGACCTTGTTTTATATTGGAAGCCATCAAATGTAACTACCACCTAGGTTTAAGCGAGAACCTTAGCAAAGTGAAATTAGCAACTGAGTTCAGGATGCAGATGGAAAATTAGACTATGAAAGAAGTCAAAGCCCTATCCTAGACTCCAAAAACAAAACCAAAAAAAAAGTTGCTTTCTTTGCTTGGTTTTCAGTGCGGGATGCCTTCCAGATGGTGCACAATTTAAGAGAAGAAAGACATCTGTGAGTTGGTGTTGCATGATGAAGAATCTGGAGGGAATACTAATTTGCATTCAGGTTGGCTTCACGACAGAGAACCCTCGTATTCTTGTCTTTTAACATATAGCAGATTGGTCCTCTGTATTCTCGTCTTTTAACATATAGTGGGTATTATAATGAACAATAGAGGAAGCAACCATGAGTTGGAGCATACAGAGGATAGCAGTAAGAAGGCAGCCTTGAAATGTCACCACTATGTCTTTTGTTGCTAATGGAAAGAAGCAAATAAGCAATAGATGATAGTGAGAATCATGTCGAAAGCATGAAAATGGTCTTTTTATTTCACTTGCACTTTTTGTGCAAAGAGAGAACCGTGTTGTATAAGGAGTTGACAGACTTCATAGGTACCTAGATGACTTGGATTTTGTCGTATAAACAACTAAGACATATTTTTGACATCGACTTGGTGTTTCGTAATGAAAATTTTAGCTTATAAAAAGAGAAAGACAAGCAGTGAAACTTGAACAATACCAAAATGTTCACAAGAAAATGACAAGAACCAAGGCAACCAACATGATTCACTCTAAACGTGCAAATGCATTACAGAGAGCTTGCTTAGTTCTGGGATTTTCAAAAGAAACTACAGGTCTAGAAAAACACTTGCAACTTGAAAATTGGTAACCTGTTGCAAAATTGAGATGCAAACGTGTGGACTGAGTCAAAGAAGTTTAGTCTTATTGCTTCAGCCCATAATTTTCTATATCTAACCAGTAAATTCTAAACAAGACCAAAGGTGTACAGATTGTAAAAAAGTAAAACAACACTCAGAATAACCAACAGTCTCTGATGCATTTTAAGTTGCTCCGTTGAAGGAAAAAATCATAAAAGAAGGAGAACTAAGGCTACCATTAATATCAACATATCTTTCCTGCTATCTATTGTCGGCATTAGTGAGTAATTGATATGGAGGTGCATTTAAGCTGACAATACAAACCTGGAGTAACAGAACTACTTCTGAGAAAATATCACCCATGGGAAGAAGTTGCTTAATTACTTCTGTACTTATGTTAAAAGGTAAATTGGAGACTACCTGTAAAAAGGAAAGGGAGTCAATATCCTGTTAGCATGATACTGAAGATATGGTAACTCGCACTTGGAACACATATTTTGAAGGCACAAAAAGTGTCAAACAGGAAATGAAGATTTTTTTCCGGGTCTTTCAAAGAAAATGAAGGAAACCCAAGGTGCACTTATAAGAATTGATTTTAGCAGGCAAAAGAAGGGGGGGGGGGGGGGGGTTGCCGCAACAACAACAACATACCAGTGTAATCCCACAAGTGGGTCTGGAGAAGATAGTGTGTATGCAGACCTTGCCCCTACCTGAAGGTAGAGAGGTTGTTTCCGATAGACCCTCGGCTCAAGGAAAGCAAAATCCAGAGAGACTGCCACGTGAGGTAATATTTCTTTTACGAGGTAAATGTTTTACATCCTGAACACTATACCCCTCCCTTCTTGCCCTTCCTGAGCCGAGGGTCTATTGGAAACAGCCTCTCTACCTGAATTAGGTAGGGGTAAGGTCTGCGTACAGACTACCCTCCCCAGACCCCACTTGTTGGGATCAAACTGGGTTTGTTTGTTGTAACACTATACCCCTCCTGAGATGACAAGATAATCTTCACTAGTAATTCTAGAAGATGATCTTTTGCCAAAATCGTCCTTTGAGGGATGTCTTCTCTCTTTATCCCTAAATTTAATTTTTCTCATTTTCAGTCCCCCATCAATTGGGCAGTAAGTTATAAAAATGGCCCTTCTAAGCCCATAGACATCTAAAACTGCCTCTATGCACCCAAAGGAGGGGCATTATTATTTTTTGCCTTAAAACTCAGATGGTTTAGGGCCTTTCTTTCATTCCAGACACCACCTCGCAGAAGCTTTGAGGGGATACTGATTGCTCATACCACTAGCAGTGTTTTTTAACTACCATTTCAAAAGGACTATTTAAATGGAGGGCCTAAATACATAATGTACAAAACTGAGCAAATGCAACAGTGGCAGTATACAGTCACTAGACACCGGAATAGCAAAAGACATGCAAGAAGGCTTTAAGTTCAAAAAGGAGATAAACTATGCATAATATATGTTGCTGTGGTCATCACTAACTTCACTTCGTTGTAGGGGCATTTTTATTTTCACACAAGAGGACATATTGAAGTTACTATGAAGGGGCTGATGATGATCTAAACTCCAAATTGGAAACTGCAAACAAGCAACTCGGGACATTACATCCAAAAATGTATATGAGAACATATGATTGACAAACATACACAATAAATATGCATCATTGTCATGAATAGTACCAACAGATACTCAGATTTCTTATAACTATATTAAAACGAAGAATTTGAGAAAAGAAGGCAGGTGCTTACCTTTGCATATTGTGGTTTCACACCTGAAGAATTTCTTCCACTTTGCGAAATTGTGGACAAATGGGAGCGTATATGACATTTTGTGAAATCCTCTAGCAAAACCTATAGATGCAGTGGTTACATTATCAGATTTCAATATATCTTTGCAATAGAAGCCACTGAAGCATAGTGTAAACCAAGTACATTTGTCTCCTTTTAGAGTCAAAGAACACTTTATTGAGTAATTCCAAAATATTAACTTTTCATCCTGTATTTCAAAGTGGAGAGATTTTAACAGAAATTGTTACCTTTACGTGGTCTAGACTGGAAAATCTCTCCATTACAAGGGCTGCCATGTAGGGATCCTGAAGTCAAAGCAAATTAAAACAATTGTGTCAACAATAAAAAGGAACAAGAAGGAAAAACAGAAAAAAGAACAAAACATTAAAAAAAAAAAAAACCTTTTTTCTCTCATAACTATTCATGTAAAGATATATGCTCAAAGTTTGTTAAGTGTTAACAATTTTCAATATGATATGGTTATTCAACATACACACACACACACGCATGCACATATACTCACTACGGTTTAATCCCAAGCTAGTTGGCTGTAGCCATTCCACTCCATTTAAACCCATGTCATTCAAAAATAGTTAATCTGTTTTTAAATATCAAACTTTTCTTTACAGTTACATAAGAGACTCCTAATATATACTCTAAGCCTGGGCAGAAAAAACAACAGAAGGAAAAAGATCAAACAAGGAGAAGCGTATTGACAGTGAAACAAAATAAACCTTTTCAATAGCAAGGACAGTGGCACCAGCGTCTACAAGAACATTGGTCAGTGAACCAGTACCAGGCCCAATTTCAACCACCAAATCTCCTTCTTGTACATCAGCAGCAGCAACTAATTCCTCATTCACTGACGAATTCAGCATGTAATGCTACAATCCATAATAGAATTAAAAAACAATTAAACACCAAATTCACTCAATCATACCCATTTTTCTGTTCACTTTACCATGGATAAACGGAATAGAAAAGATCAAACACTAGCTCACTGAATCATACCCATCTCTCTGTTCGATGAAATGCCCGAATAAACAATACCCAGATATTAAAACACTGAAACAGAAGGGAATGAGCTTTAGAAAGCAGTAAATACCTGCCCAAGTGACTTTCTTGGGAAACGACCTTTAGAGTTGAGAGCTTTAAGGGTGGCATGATAGTCATCCTCATCCTTGTTATTGATTTTTGTTTCGCTTTTGGTTTTAGATATTGCAGTTATTGTATGATAGGATTTGGGTCTTGGGCTATTGGCATCAACGGGTCCATCGTACGCCGGCGAATTTGCCAAGAGTAGAGGCTTTGGCGTTGAAGAGAATAGCAACAGGGAATGTAGCAAAGAAGGCATTGGTAGTTTTTGCGGTTATTGGTCTGTTAATTTCATGGGTTTATCCATTGGAATGTTCCCAAAAAGACAATTTTACCCTTTTAAAGATGAACTATGGTTCGTCTTGTTTAACTTTTTAAGGGCAAAATAGACTTTCTTAGAAAATTGGTTTTATCAATCTGGAGATTTGGTTTTGTAATCCATTACAATTATTTTTACTACACTTGGTAAAAACTAACATAAGAAATCTCTAAAAATATGAAAAAATGTGTAAGCACTATGACCAAGAAATTAAAAGAAAAATCACAACACATGAACACACACAGTGGTACAGCATCCAGTTAGCAACTTGAGGCTCATGGCTTTCTTAAATGAAAATACAGTTTTATAAACATGATGAGATAAAAGGTATATCACTAAACTACCTATACAACTTATAATTTATAGAACTTGAGTGACCAAAGTCAATGAAGTTCATTCTCGGAATCCCCCTCCCAAAATAGTTGTGAACTTCTATTTTCTGTTGTTTCCAGCAGAGACTTAATGTCTATTTCAGTGCCTAAACTATTGAATTCTTGTGGTAATTCTGGTACAGAATATTCTTGCTGTCTAGAATCATAATTCCCAGAATTCTCTAGTGGTGTCACAGATACTTCATCACCAAAAAGTATAGCAGAATAGTCCTCAAGATCTCCTGATGATTGATGTGCTGAAAGCTGTTCTTGGGGTATGAAACTGACATGTATTTCCGGGCTTTGACGTGATATTTTGTTCGCTGGATTATCGAATAGTAGAAGACTCTGTTGTTCTGAAATGCTGTTAGAAGGATGATTGAATATTGTAAAATTTTCAGGTGGAGCTGAAGAGCATTGAATTAAGGTATTTTCGTTAGGAGTTTCCAACAACGGTGGTGAAGGTTGCTGCTTGTGAATGTAGTCCTCTGACATTGAGGAACATAGACCAGAATACGCGGTGTTATTGGAGATAACAGCAGAAGATGAACCTTTGTGACCAAAGTTGACAGATTTCCCATCTTTGCTCAATCTAAAACCAATAAAATCCAATCCAGAATTTGAGTTTGTGGGCTGGTTTGCCTTGCCACTTTGTATGCTGAACAGCATGTTCTTTCTCTTGTCACTATATACTCTGAAGTTACTATTATGAGCTACTCTTGGCAAAAATGTTGACTGCTGTTCAATTAGGCCACTATTATATTCTGCTTGTCGCGAATTGGCAAAATCCAAGAAACTGTTCTGCTGCTGGAAACTGACCATATTGGGGAATGATACCATTTGTGGTTCTCTCAAGTTCATGCCACCAGTTCCTTGCTGAAAGTGTGTCTGAAATGGCTGTTGTGTAGAACGAGAATATCCTCGCGTTGCGTTTAAATTTAGAGAAGATAGGTATGGTTGAACTTGAAAGCATTTCTCTTTAGCATCATTTGTTAGGATTTGGTCATAGATAGAAGCAGCTGAACTTTCTTGAGCTCTTTTAAGGCACATGCGATATTTCTGCAAATATGTACACTTTTTTGTTTAATAGCAATTAAAATTTAACCATGAAATATCACAATAATTTAATATATCATGATTTTGAGAATTAAGACATTCAACATTTGTGTGACATGCATCAAGAGAGAGCACCAGGTTCTAGCTCTTAATGCAAAGATTTTGCTAGATATTAAATGCTATGATCATGTGAATTCTAAAACTAGAGATTCATGTATTAACCCCTGAGATTCTTGTAGTAATAGCACTTTAATGGTTCACATTTCCATATTTTGAACAATTCCTAAAAAGGAAAAAAAATGTAATCTCCACAAAGAAGAAGTAAATTTGCTTTCCAACCCCTCATATCAGCCTAAGTAAGGGGTGTCAAGCCTAGGAGGAAAAAATGGAGAAAAAGGAAAAGAAGTTAACATAAAAGCATATATGATGAAAATTTGATAAGGTGATGGTAAAGGGATTGAAAATTCTGCAAAAGATTATAATATAAATGAAAACACACCTGCAAATGACTGGCAACATGTTCTCTAGTCAATCCAGGCTCATTCATAATTTCAACTATTTTCTTAGGAACTGCCTCTGCATATCAATTAAGAAAAAGAGCAATCATCAATTATTATCCATAGTGTCAAGTGTCAACTACATATTTAGAACGTAAAGAAATTAACTTTCAGGGAAAAGAGGGAGAGCAACTGTTTTACTTTCATGGCCTAGTTGCTGGATAGCTTGCAAGAAATTTTGATGCATCTTTGGAGTCCAAACTACCCTTCGTTTCTTTTCGATGTCTCTATTCTCTCCATCTTCTTCACTTCTGTCGCTGCAAGCTTTTCGCTTACCCTTCACATCATGAGCCCTTACATCACTATCAGCAGATGATGTGTTTTCTGTATTTGTCTCAGTTACATTCTGAGGCAATCTTGTAGCATTGTCATCATAATTTTCTTCTTGATTGACTGCTGCTTTTCTAACTTTCTCTTTCTCTAATGCCATTTTCCAAAGCTTGTTCATCTCATTTGTGTCTGAAATGTTCACAACATATGCTGCAACACTACAATCTTGGACTTGATTTTCATATCTTGTATCATCTGGTGACATTACTGTGGAAAGTATAAGTAAAATCTGATGAGGAAAACTAAATGACAACAAATTCTAAAGTATAAAAGATAAAACTATAAAATACTTACAAATGGTTGGAAGATTGAGTTTGTTCTTGATAATTTGGAGAATGTCAACCCCATGTGTGTTTAGCCTGTGTATGTTTGTAAGAACAAGATTGAGGATGCTCTTTCTCTCCCAAATGGCATTTAAAGTATCCATTGTTTTTCCTACATGCAAAACTGATAAACAAAAGAACAAAAGTTCAAGTTAATAACTCTTCTTTGAACTAAGAAAACAAAGTTGAGAAAGAAGAGAGGATGAAAACATTATATTAGATACCTTCATGAGTTTGGTTGTGAAGCATATGAGAAACAATATTATGACAAGTAATATCATCAAGGACTAGAAGTATGCAAGTTCTTTTAGTTCCAATATCAGATGAATAAGGTGTAGATTCTCCAAGTGAATTGGCAGTAAATCCCTGGATGTCCATGTTTTTTACAGAGATGTAAAAGTTTAAGGAGGTTTCTAAGGAAGCTGTTTAATTTGGAGCTAAAGTGGCAATAAGGATATGATGTTGTAACTTGTAAGAGCACGGGAAACACAAATTATTTCCATATAATGCTTTTATACTATTCATGCCTCTCCTTACCCCCTCTCCCCCCCCCCTACCCACCCAAAAATAAAAAGAAGGGAAAAAAGTAAAGTAAGAAAGAAAAAAGTGAAGGAAGTTTGGAAAATAACCTTTATGAAAGTTTATAAGGAAACAAGGATTAATAAAATTTTTAGGAAACTTGAAAATAGATGGTAATTTTGTCCATGGGCAAACTCTTAAGTCAGAAGTGTTGCCCATGGGGCAAGTAAGGTCCAACACTTGTTAAACTTGAAATTTTGCCCATAGGGCAAGCGGAGTCAAAAAAATCAAGAGTGGCACCAACTTGTCCTATTTGTGCAAATCACCCTAAAATTTCAAAAAAAGCGTGAAATTGGAGCCCCCCCTCCCATTTGGGTCCTCGTTCAAGTAATTTTACATTATTATTTGTATAATACTCCTGCATCCCTAAAACAAATTTACAAGGATATAGCTTTACTTTAACAAAAACCAAAAAATAAGGAAGACGTAATGCTTATATATTTTTTATGGCGGCAAAACTGGGGATTGAGAAATATGAATAGTTAAAGCTTGTTTGGATGATTGTTATGTATCGTTTCATAATGTATCGTATAATATTATATTGTACTGTATCGTTTTGATGTATATAATGTTTGGATAGATTGTATTGTTTGCCGTCGTTTCATGATGCCATGCACCGCCAATATAAATAATAAACTTGCAATATTATAAAGAAAAAGTAAGGTACGAGGTAGAATTATTATATAAAAAGGTAGGGTAAAAGATAAAATAAGATTATTTAATAATAAGGAAGGGCTATAAGACAAATAATACGCAACCATAGCAGAGATTAAAACACAAACATAAACATAATCTTGAAATAGGTTCAAGAAGCGTACTGTTAAACTTCATGGATTCAGCAGCGACAACAAACGACGATTAAGCCTGAGACCAACTTCCACAATCCACTAGCTACGCGCTCTCACAGCCCGGAGAACTTGACTGATGGGACGTCTACCGTTACCACGTATTCAAGAGGCAGAATACGCTAGGGTTTTCTAATAGCTAGGGAAAGGGGATTGGCCTCTACTTATAAAGAGTGCCTACCCATCACAGCCAATAGTTATTGGGCCTCACTTATCTACACACATAATATTTAATATTAGGCATTTTGTTTATCCACCACTTGGGCCACGTCACTATCCTTTCAGGCTATAACCAATTAACGTAAGTCCAAATTCCAACATTCTCCCACTTGGACGCCAACGTTAATTGAGGACAAGAAAACAATTTTAAAATATTTGAGTTTTAAGAAAATCATTTTGAAAAAAGATTTTAGACTCTACAGTGGCCACACTACTCACATAGCCAAGGATAGAATGACCCGTATAACAATCCATTCAGTCTCAATAGAGAAGACTAACAATGAATCATAGCAGACATCACACCATTTAAAGTATGAATTCTATCTACGACTACATATGCTAGAATTTCCATCAACATGGATCAAACATGTGTGCTAAGCATTTTATCTTTCTAATCAAGGTGAGTAGATTTACACCTCTTAGAAAGAAATAATCCTCCAAGTGATATTATAACCATATCACCTCAGGAGCCTCCAAGTGACACTTAATCATATCACTTCAGGAGGATTCCCTTGTGCCTTACCCGGGATAATCAAGGCAACAAGTCGCAAGACTCAAAGATATCATGAGTTTATGCAATGTCCAATTGGAAATAAAAATAAATAAATTATCATGTTAGTCATAAGCATAACAGATATCAAATAACACAAGCTTGCATAAAGATAGAATTTTTCAAAAGCAATATCTTAGTCAGCAATTACAAAGTAACTCCCACTGACTAAAGCACATCAAAAGACTCTAAAATCCC